CGTTTTGATTTAACTTCTAGTTCATTGTCCTGAAACTCTGAAATGAATGATGACCATATTGCTTTAAATTCATTACCAACCTGACCCCGTTTTATGGCATGATACGGGTAGAAAGATGAATTTACTCAACTATAAATATTCAAAAGAATATACAGAATTACTTTTCAATCCTCTGTTTTCATTAAGAGATCGTCTGGCCCATGTTCTGTCAACAGGTGGCTCTGACATTCATTTTTCATCTTTCAGTTCACACATAGATTGACCCAGTTTAAGTTGACTGTATAATCCTGTTGATTTATTGAACTGAATGTCAATTAAAGTCCTACAACGTATCCTTATATGCTAAACAAAAGATCAGTATTAAGGACACTGCACACGTGCTAAGAATCGTAAATGTCTATGTACTCGTACATATTTGATTGATTTTTTTTTCCTTGGCACTACAGTCCCAGTGGGCCTAGGCCTACCTCCATGAACTTCTCCGTTCACTTCGGTTTTTCTAGATCTTACACATTCGGTAGGACTCCTTGGGAGGGTGATCAGCTCGTCGCAAGGCCTCTACCTGTACACAAACACAGAAAAACGCGCACACACAAACTAAACATTCATGCTCTAAGTGGGATTCGAACCCACGATCCCGGTTTCAAAGCGAGCGAAGACAGTACATGCCTTAGACCGCTAGGCTACCGTGACCGGCATTTTATTGATTACTACATAGAATTATTCAGAGATAATGACTTACATATACGCCGTCACACTGGAGATGTTCCTGACAGCCGTCCGAGTCGAAATGTTAAATACCCCAAGTTAGGGCATTTGGACTGTGACTAAGCTTTTTTGAACCTCTGCGATATTGTAGGGGGGGGGGCACTATGCTACAAGCTGGAAGGTCGCGGGATCGAATCCCGATGAGGTGGATTCTTTTTTTCAATTTACCTAATCCTTCCAGCCGCACTATGATCCTGGGGTCGACTCAGACTGTAACAGAAATGAGTACCAGGAATCTCCCGGGGGTTAAAGGGCGGCCGGCGCTTAAGGCTGACAACCTCACCTCCATCTGTGAGCCGATTGTCTAGAAAATGTGGGACCCTCAACGTCTCACAGCCCTATGGGCCTCCACGGCCTCTTACAGGGATAGCTTTGCCTTTATACTTTACTGCGATATACAGTAGTATGAGTATACGAGGTTAACAACTCGCGGAAAAATCTCAAGATATTTACTTAACAATATTAGTAATTAAATGCTTCAATGACAAACACAAATGCAGTAGAAAGTGACATTTGCATGCCTCTATTTCCACGTAGTGTACGTAAGTTCCAAATATTTGGTTTTCTAATTGACGTATAAATGGAAATGTCATACTCTACGGAATATAAGAGTATTTACCAGAAAAGTAAAGAGTTCTTTAGGATATAGAGCCGACTAGTCCGGTCATCTCTCAACTGACTATGCGGTGTTATACAGCGAAGATAAATCTCCTCTTAGCTATTACTGAGAGATCTTAAAAACCCAAAACAGAGTATTAAATTCTGTGAAATACTGTGATGTGTATACCAATTCCTAGGCAACGACTCGGTAAACACATTGTCGCGGAAGCAAACGCACCCAACAATAGGACGTCCATTGCTGGGTAACGGATCGGCAAACAAGCCTTAACAACAGAGAGGCTATGTTTCCTGCTTGGTCAGCGCCGAGGTGTTATAAAGAGACAAAGTCAGTTATTGTCAGAAGTTGAGATACTTAAGTTGAATAAGATTTCATTTGAGTTAATTGTTGTCGAGAATTGGTTAGAGTTCTGATAAATATAAGCAGGGAATTTCCGTGGCGCTATAATTTCTTTGTCCATGAGCTCTGGGCCTGATCTGCTTGATTTTTCAACAAATGTGTCGTTAATGGTGTAGTGGTCAGAGTTCCTGCCTACAGATCCAGTGGTCCCGGATTCGATTCCCAGCCCTACCAGATTCTCTGAGAGGCAGTGGGTCTGGAGCGGGGTCCACTCAGCCTCGTGAGGATAATCGAGGAACTATTTCAAGGAAACAGCGGCTCCGGTCTAAAAAACCGAAATTAACGGCCGTGGGGATCCGTTGCGCTGACCACGTACCCCCCTCTATCCCTAAAAGTTGGCACTAACTTCGCCGACAAGCGGCGGTCGCTCAGTCGGTATAGTTTGCTTGCGGACTACAGGCCACGGAGTTTTTCGAGTCATTACTTAACTAAATACGACATACCGTCTTCGTGCATTCTGGAAGCAAACCCGAAGAGAGTTTTCTACACAGCGCAACCGTGAGGGGTCGACAGAATTAACGGCAGGATCTTACAGCTTTTCCGCTGAGTTCTCGCTCGCAATAAACACATAGAATAAATACAAATAAAATGCGCTGTAGCAGCACCTGATTTATCTGGGATCCGAACAAGTTCAGACCCGTAAAGCGCCGTGTTAAAAAAACCTGGCGGTATATACGAGCTAATATGGCAATTCTTTTGCGCTAAGAGGCGGCACGCGGTAGCATAGTTGGTTGAGGCACTATGCTACAAGCCGGAAGGTCGCGAGTTCGAGTCCCGATGAGGTGGATTTCTTCAACTGACCTAATCCTTCCACCAGCACTATGGCCCTGAGGTCGACTCAGCCTCTAACAGAAATGAGTACCAGGAATGTGCCTGGGGGGTAAAGGGCGGCCGGCGCGTAAGGCTGACAACCTTACCGCCATCTTTGAGCCGATTGTCTAGAAAATGTGGGACCCTCAATGTCTCACAACCCTATGGGCCTTCACGGCCTGGTACAGGGATAGCTTTACTTTTACTTTTTACCCAAAAGCCGGAAGGCTATCCCTGTTTGCCGTCCGTGAATTGTTATTCAACTTGTTTGCGTTTACCCCAAATAAAAAGAAGACTGTTTAGCTTCTGAGGAAGGAAAGAGATTTATATATATATATATTTACTTTCATGAGTTATACCGCCTCATGCATGTAATTTTAAATTGTTCTAGCAAATTTCCTAAGTATTCAAATTCATTTAAAATATATTATGCGACAGTATTTTCATAATTGAGCCACGAGCTTCCTTAAAATATACAAATATCTGCTTTACTGATCCATTACAGTCGCGTTTTACTCCAACATTTGTTACAGATGTGTTTTACTTCACAGAGTCAAGGATCAGCCTTGAATAAGCTTAAAAGTAACTCGGAGAGGAAGACAGCGCGGCTTGTACTGTGTGTGCCGTGCACCCACGCGTGGCTACAGACTCTACAGACGCTACAGATCAGATAAACTTGTAGTGGGTCTACCCGATGTACTAGCTAGATGCATGGAGCTGCAGACTAAAAGGCTACTTTGTCCCTGTGCTCAAGCACCGCGCATGAATACGTATAGGGGATTGGAGGTTCAGCCCGGGACGCATTTTTCCAGAGACAAGAGTCCTCAGTACCCATTAGATAGGAACTTGGGTGGGCCAGAGAGCCGGTTTGGACGCTGTGGAAAAGATAAAATAAAAATTGCCTTTGCAGGGAATCGAACCCCTGACGTCCAGCCCGTAGCCCTTCACTAAACTGACTGAGCTATGCCAACTCCTGATTCATTCTCGCCATAATCATTCTTTTATTTCTGTATTTGTAGTTTATTTAACGATACTGTCAGCCACTCTGGCTTCAGCGTAGAAGCTGTCCTTGTAACAGGCCGTGGGGGCCCACAGGGTTGTGAGACGTCGAGGCTCCCACATTTTCTATACAGTCAGCTGACAGATGGCGGTGAGGTTGTCAGCCCTACACTCCTCCCGCCCTTTATTCCCAGGAAGATTCCTGGTACTCATTTCTGTTACAGGCAAAGTCGACCCCAGGGCGCGCCATAACTCAAGCGGTTAGTAGCTGGCGTTCCACCGTGGCGGCCCGGATTCGATCCCGGGTCTGGTCAAGTGGGATTTGTGGTGGACAAAGTGGCGCTAGGGCGGGTTTTAG